TGAGCGCAGGCCTTTGAACCGAAAGGTTGCTGGTTCGATTCCCAGTCAGCGCACAGGCCTGGGTTGTGGGCCAGATTCCCCAGTGGGGGGCGTGCTAGAGGCAACCAATTGATGTATCTCTCACGCATGGATGTTTCTCTCCCTATCTTTCTCTCTCCCTTCCCCTGTTTCCAAAAATACATAAATAAAATCTTTTTTTAAAAAAAGAATATGGCAAAAGTGATGGGAAGCCCCACCCCTGGTCAGATGATGTCGTATCAGACTCCGTCCTAACAGACTGGACAGAGGTTCCCCCTCTGGCCTTGAAAGGGAACCTCCGTGACGTGGCAGCTGGGGGAGGAGGCCTCGTGTCAGGGAACTGAGGGCCCCACTCCTCCAGCCACGAGGACCTGGATTTTTCCACGGCCACGTGAGCTCGGGAGGGGACGGAGCTCCAGAAGGAAGGTGGCCATCTGACCACCTGGACTGCAGCCTTGGGCCCCGAGCAGAGGGCCCTGCAGAGTCGTCCCCAGGTTCTCACCCACAGAAACCATCAGATAATAAATGCCGCCCAGCTTACCGTCGCTTGTCACTCGGCAGTAAAGAAATCTTCCCCTTGGTTGAGTGGGCCCTCCCCCCTCTTTTCTAGATGCTGAAAATGAAGGATTAATTAGAAACCACCTTGGCCAGTCTCATAGTCCTTGACAGGGGCCCCCACTATGTTAGCAGCTTCTTAAGGGTCGACTAAGCCCAACGCACACGTCAGGGTGGAAGGCGAGGCTCCCGCATCCTCTCTCCTCCTGCTCCCAAGCTCCCTGGTCTCCGACCCCCGCCCAGAGCCTCTCCCCATCCCGGCCCTTTCCTCCCGCGAGTCCTGGAAAGAGCTGCTCTGGGACCCACGCGCTGACCGTTTCTCTGAGTTCTCTCCCGGACGGAACCAAAGTGCAGCGCAAGAAGCAGCCCTGCCGTCGGCCAAAGACACATCAAGGGTGAAGCGGACCACGGCAGGCCAGCTGTCCAAACAAGAGGCAGCTGGGCTCCTCGGTGGGCGTGCAGACGGGGGCCGGCTCCCCTGGCAGGGCGGGGGCTTCCTTAGAACCATCCGTTGGGTTCCGGGCCCTTGGAACGTCGAGCTCCAACTGCCTCCCTGGGCCTCCGCCAGCTGAGGGCTGTGAGGAGCCCACGACGCCCCTCGGAAAATGCCCCTCAGAAAGCCCCCCAGCAATGCTGGGGAAGCACTTCTGCTAGTCCCAGGTCCGGTGAAGTGCGGAGGCCTCTTTGGGAAAGGAAAGTGGTGGGAGGGGGTTGCTTCACAACCGAGACCCATGGGGATGCTGTCCTAGGGCTCCGGGGGGGGTGTGGTCAGGGCGGGTGGAGAGGAGGAGGCGGCAGAAAGGTTCTGGGAAGAGGACGCCTCCTGCCCAAGGGCCGGACGACCTGCGGGACAGGGAGGGGCTTTCTCCTGGCAGCATGCCAAGAAGGCAAAGAACCTCAAAGAAGGCGGGGACCTCGCTTTCTTAAACCAAGAGGCAGGTGCCCAGGAGTCCCCTGTCGCTCACAGCTGCGAGCGAGTCCAGATGGCCAGTTAGAGCCGTGAAGCACTGGCCTTTGGCAGGCTTTCATTCCACGCGTTACAGGGCAGCGGAACAAGACTCGGAGCCGCCCGCGGCCTGACTGCTTAGTTAAACTTGCACTTGAAGTTCGCCCGCCCTGAGGAGAGTGGGGAGCTCTCAGCTATGTTTGGGCACCTCTGGTATCGGGAAGCCCATTACCCTCATTAATCCGTTTCTACTTCACGGACTCTGGATGGCTAGAAGATGAGCTCCCCCTGAATAGTGCCGAACCCCACAAAATGTAAACATTGTTCCTTGGCCTGCCCTTGGGAGACATATTGACGACCATGGAATAGACTCAAGAAGACAGTTATCACAGGCCTCTTCCCTCACAGCCCCCTCTGCCGTCCCTCCTCTTTTTCCCCCAGGGCCGCCTTCTCGCTTCCAAAGATTAGTCAAGTGACAAGGATGCGAGTTCACAGCAGCTAAGTGTGGCCGTCCGTGCTGTGGTGGTTCCGGAGGTAGGTAGGCCACATCTTTGTCCTCTGAGGGTCTAGCGACCCAACACAGGAAGTGTCATGGACGTAGAGCCAGAAGTCACTGTGTCAGTTAGCCACTGCCGTGTGACAAGCCGCCTCCACCGTAATGGCTGGCAAGAACCACTTCCTGTTGTTCACAAGTCTACAGGCGGTCAGCTGGGTGGTTCTGGGCCATGTCCAGCCCAGCACTGCTGGGGCCGCTTACGCATCTTCAGGAGACAGAGGGTGGGGTGAAGGCTGGCGGCTCTGGGATGGCCTCACACATGGGGGTCTGGCAGTTGGCCGGCTGTCAGCTGGCGAGACTAGGATGACCGGGCCCCCCTGTGTCTCGCAGCAGCTGGGTGGGGTTCCAAGACAGTGGTAAGGAGAAACTGGAAGGCCTGTCGGAGCCCAGACTTGGAACCGACACCCATCACCTCTCCTGTCAGCCAACGCAGGTCACAGGCCAGCCCAGATGCAAGGACCGGGGAGGGAGACCTCTCCTGTCAGTGAGAGGAGCTGCCCAGTCCCGCTGTGAAGGACGTGGCTATCGGGAGTGGTGGGTAAGGGCCACTTTCCTCTAACACACGCAGTGAGTGTGTACGCCCGGCAAAGAGTGAGATGCCTCTCCATACGTCATCCGGAGAAGACACGAAGACCGTGAGGCTGAGGGAAAACAACCGGCCCTGCTGGGCTTCCCACAACAAAAACGCTTTTTACTTTTCAGATCACGGTGCTATTACCTGACTCACATACAATCCATTCACAAAACCAGACACTCATGAACTGTCACTCTACAGAGCTCCCCACCTCCACTGCCATGGGAACTAACTTGAAAGTAAAAAAAAAGAAAAAACATTGTATTTGTAGAAACCTGTGAGCTTAAATGCATGGAAGGACCAAGGCAGAAAATGGGAAAAGGTACGTAGGTAGTGAGCACATTTGGTGGCATCTCCCCAGCTAACAGGTCCCCTCTCCTCTGACCCTTGGGGTCACAGTTACAAGCTCTCAATGGCCATATTTTCCACTCTAAATCCCTCCCCCAACAATTCTGATTGGACAAGAAGTGAACACCTGATCCAGCTGTACCAATCAGATTCTTTGTCCCAGGATTTCAGAACTCTGGGCAAGAGAGAACCCAGGCAGTGTCCTATGGGATCTTGGGGCTGAGGGATCTTGGGGCTGAGGGATCTGGGGACTGAGGAGCAGAGAGGGACAAGAGAGAAGAGTAAAGTGGTCCCTCCATAGTATGCAGGGGCGGGGGAGGACAAGAGGGGCTTCGCTCCTCCCGGCCCCTATGGAGGCTTGGCTGTGAGCCTTGCATCCTTAGGAAACCCATCTCCTTACAATCCCGAGTTGTGTTCTCTTACTTGTAAACAAGAGGCCATAAGGGCTAGAAACACGAAGGTGCAGAGGAGCCTGTGGGAAGCCAGAACAGCTCAGGGCCCCCCAAGACAGGTGGCCCTGAAGTGGCCCACAGGTGGCAGGGGACGTGGGCAGGAGCCCGGGAGACAGTCGCTGGGTGGGTGGCAAGGGCCCGGAAGGAGGGTAGACGTAGTCCAGGAGTCACCATGGGGCCCCCAGGTGTGGGGAAGGAACTGGTGTGAACAGCTTGCGTTCCAAAAGCAGCCGGGGGGGGGGGGGAAGGAGCGGGTGGCGCTGGGGACAGGGGTGGTCCTGGGTATCCGTGTGCCACCCGGCTCCGAGGCGGAGCCCATGTGTTTAAAATGTCTGCAAGTAACACAAAGCACCCAACAGAGGTGTGAACAAAATTAAAGGCAAAGAACACGTGAAGAAAGTATAATTCCGGCACATGGCAGAGGATCTTCTCACTGGGGCGTGAGCACTCAGTGAATCCTTGGGGTAACACTCCGCCCCCGTGGGAAAAGGAACGGAAAAACCAATATGAGGTTCACACAGTTGTAAAAATTCAGTTCTTCATGCTAATGATAAAATAAAAGCCAATTTAAAACAGGATCCCATGTTTCTTCAAACACATTGATGCTTTTCCCCCCCAAGATATGTACTGCTTTATACTGCAGAGGGCGTGGGAACCAGGCTTTCTCACACCATCTTGGGATGCAGTTCGGGAACAGTTCAAGCCCCTTGCACTGAGATGTGGCAGTGCCCCGCCCCAGATATCCTGTGTCCTTTTCTCGTTAGTGCACAAGCCCACATCCAACACCACGCCTGCCTCGCTCTCCCAGGGGCTCTCTGGCCCCCAGGGCCCCCGCGCTGACTGGGAGTGCAGGGAGTTAATACCACTTGGGACCAGCCAATTACTGACAAGGCAAGGGCTCAGTCAGGGCTCAGTCAGTTGCTTCTTGGTAGGAGAAGTTTGATGTGTTTCGTGCACCGCAGCCGGAGTCTACTGGGGGGGGCTCAGCTCTGTCACCCACAGCATCCTGGCGGCTATCACCCCCCATCCCAGTCCCCACACCCTTTTCTGGGTTGCCTTCAATTCCCAAACAAACCTCTTGCCCCCGAATCCTCATGACAAAGGAACCCAAACTGAGACAGCTGTTGATTTGTTATAAAGCTCTTTCCACGGAAACAGTCAGGAAAAGGTGCAAAAACTTTGCTCTTTTTTTTTTAAATAGAAGAAAATAAAAGTGGATCCACCCAGAAGTTGTGGCTAAATCCATACAAGAGAATAATCCTTGGTCACTAAAAACAAATGTTCAAAGAACACTTGCGCTATAGTGAAGCAGAGAAAGAATGTGAGACAAAGGGGAATATTTCACACAGTTGCAAGCTTTCCTGTGCATTTGCCAAAGAGTCACCGTGATTATTTCTGAGGGACACAACTACAGACGGTTTTTATTTTCCTGTGGGTGTGTGTGCACGAGTCTGTATTTTTCAACATTTCTGCCGTAACGATGCATGACTTTTATAATTAGCACATGCAATTTAGCAATAAATAAAGGCCACACCAGTGAAGAGAAGAACATTTAAGAAATGTGACATACAAATTTATTGATCTGTTTTTAATTGTAGAAGACTTACACCAGAGAAAAATATACTTTGGGCTTTTATCAAAGTCAGATGCATTTGGCACAAGCAATAAGCACCCTCTCAAACACACTGCCCACCCATTTAGACATTGTACTTTTCCCCCAAAGAGAGAAATCGTGCACTGCTCTCAAAGGATGCTGTATCGGTCACTCACTCAAGTACACGGCACCAGGTGTTAAAGGAACACACGTTTCCTTCGTGACATACACAGAGTGACATCTGTGAAGCATGGAAATAAATCGGGAGCGGCCATTCTTACTGAAGGAATTGATTACAACAGTGTTTAGGGGCAGATGGTGTCAGGACCGTCACCGGTGGCAGGGGCAGCCTTGGCCCTCAAACTGGCCCCCTTCTGAGTGAGAGAAGTGAGGCGGAGTGACCGGGGCCCCGCCCACCCTGGTGGCAAGTCATTTGAGAGGTAGCAAGTGTGGTCCAATTAAAGGTACTGGGGGCGTGGAGCAGAAAACATTTTCAAACATTTCTACCTCCAGGTGTGACTATCAATTAAATTATTTTTATTAAAAACACTCTGGGGTGTCTAACATAATGAATCAAAGTACTTCTTCGATGGGCATAACATGAATTTAACACAGACTCTGCAGATTCGGCCCCTTCATTTCCCCCCCCGGCCCCCACCCCCGCCCTGCGCATTCCTCAGTTCGCCTTGGATTTCTGAGATTTCTTAACTACCCGTTTTTTCCCAAAACATTTGCTGCAGCCAAAGGCACAACATTTGTAGACAATGAAGACCACCCCTAGCACAATGGCCAAGAGGAAGCCAATCACGTCCAAAGAATGGTACTGGTACCAGGTGAGGTCGTGGGCCGCAGGGCGCAGGTGCGGCGCTCCCTTGTGCCTCATCACGAATTCCACCCAGAACACAGCCAGATCCAGGGGCTCGATGGGGCGGTCCTTGTGAAGGCTGGAGAGTTGCATGATGTTTTCCTTGTAGCTGCACACAGAGAAAGTTACGTGAGTGCTGGGAACATGGGTGTCAGGCAGCTCCCCTCCCTATGTACGTGCATGACAAGACCAAGCTACCGGATTCTTCCACACTCACTAGAGAAATGTGGCTATTATAAGTAACAAAGAGCACATGCAATACATACCATGTTCTTTATCTCCCAGGAGGGAAGGAAGGAGGGAGGATGGGAAGGAAGGAAGGGGAGGTGAAAATAAAGAAAGAGAAGGAAGGAAGGAGGAAAGAGAGAAAGAAGGCAAGAGAGGAAACTGGAAGCCAAAATTATTATTTTATATTATTTGAAAAATTATTACTTCTTTTCTTTTTAGTAATATCTTTGTAGGAAACTAAATGATACTTTATAGGTACATAAAGAAATAAAGAAAAAGGTATTAGAAATTATAAACAATTGCTCATTTGAATTTGTAAACAGTCACAGCTAGTCAAAATTAAAAGCCATATTTAAGTCCATCTCCAAGACAATCGATGTAATTGATCTAAATTGTGCAGGAGGCCATGTCCACGTAGCCTGTCAAAGCAATGAACTGGTGTTTACTTGGCACAGTGCTGACGGCTGAATCAGAACATCCAAATCCGTCCCGGCGCTCAGTGCCCTTACAAACAGGTCTTCATGTATTAGTTTGAGTATCGGCTGTGAGTGTGGTGGGCAGAACACAAGTAGTATTCCTGACACGTTCTCTCTCACCTTTTGTCATTGATGACAGTTTTGAGGGCATTGGCTAAATCTTCGGAGGTCATTTCCAGGACGTTCAAGGTCACACCTGCCCCCCGGGTCTCCATGCGCTTCGCATTGTCCATCTGGTCCCCGAACAAGGGCAGCATCACCATCGGAACGCCGTTGCATATTCCTTCGTAGATACCATGGGAGCCAGAGTGTGTGATGAAGGCTCGCGTCTTCGGGTGGCCTGGGAGGCAACAGGGAGGGACACGGTGGTCAGGCCACCAGGTGCCATGTTGTGGCATGGCCTGGGTTCTGAAAGCGCTCTAAGCACTCAGTGCTGTCCTTTCGTGGGCCTTGCAGATGTTTGCAGAAGAAAATGCGGTGGGGATGCCTCGCCCCTCACGCCCCATCCGGCTGCACCGGGTAAAAAGCAAAGCGGGCTATATCAGCCATAATATTTTCCAGCTAGACAACCCTTCAGCTCAGCCATGCTTAAGCCCCTTTCTTAATTTGACCTTGGTTGGATCTACACATCAAATACTACCCACGTACCAAGCAGGTCATTTTGGGGCAGCCACTTGACCAGGATTGTATTCTTCGAAAGGTTGGGTGGCCGGGTTCCAGTGTACCGCCATAGGACCTTACGGGGGAGAGGAGAGTTTAAAGAACTTAATGTGATTTTAAAAAAAAATTAGCTATAGGGGCTAGAAACTGGAGTCTTCTGAATGAATATACCCTGTGGGGGGTAGTGACTAAGAAGGCTCTGGGGGCTGGTAACATTTTGTGAGTTTGTAAAAATTTACCAAGCTATACGTTTATGATTTTTGCACTTTCTGCATTTCAGGGGAGTGTCCCCTTAATAAAATGAGCACATGCAGGACTATAACTATGTACCTTCATTGTCCTAACCAACAGCTTTCTGGGGAAATAGTTCTACCTGATATGAAGACACTATATCTTATTTATTTTACTTTTAAGTTAAGTTCTCCTTCACACATGCCTGAGTCTCTTAGAGAAGATGAGCCATTTGGGCAACGCGGAACCGCGTTTCACAGAGCAGCTGAGAGTGGAATTGCAAAAAGAAGAGCTTGGGATTAATGACTGAGAAGAGGCAGGGAACCCGTGTCTAAGGTCCAACTAATAGAATTAATTCATAAGTGGAAATGGGGGGTTGCAACTCTCACGACAACATCTTCTTACGGTCTGAGGTATCTTGCCCAAAGCATCAGCAATTTCCTTAGCTTGCTTCTCTGGAATCTCCGAGATCATGGAGCCCAAAGAGAAAACCACAATTCCGTGTTCGCCAGAGGCATTAACGTAGGCTTCGAATTCCTAGAGGCAGAAGAGAAATTTCCAGTTAATTCTTCTCATAGTCATTGGGTGACTGCACACATTAATCTACGACTCAGGCATCTTTCTCCAAAGAACGTAATTTAGCCTTGGCCCGGTAGCTCGGTCGGTTGGTGCATCATCCTGTACACCAAAAGGTTTAGTTCCCAGTAGGGGTGCGTGTGGAAGACAACCGATCGATGATTCTCTCTCTCTCTCATCAATAAAAACATATCCTTGGGTGAGGATTTAACAAAAACAATGTGGCGTAAGGGATGTACGTGCACGTGCATGTGTGATAGAGACACTGTGAATCAGTGTGTGTTACAGCGCTTCTACCAGCCTCACTCCCGGTCACAGGAGATAGGCTTCTTGCTCACAGGCTCAGTGCGGAGCTCCCTCTTGGGGTGAGAGGCAGGGTCCAGGTAATGGGCTCATTTTTCCAGAGGATAGCAGTCCGAGGTGAGGCCAGGCCCAGGTCCCCAGGGCTCTGGGCAGCTGGGGAGGTTCTGGGGGAGAGCAGGCTTCAGGGAAGGAGCAGCAGACAGCAGAGGGCAGTGGGGAGGGAGGGGGAGAGGTGAACAAGGTGAGCCTCTGAGGAAGCGGAGAGAGCCTTTAGCTGGGATGGAAGCACGGGGTCAGGGAGGAAAGCTGGTCAGAGAGGATTTCAGAACACTTCCTACAGACTCTAAAACTCCCACACTTCCCCTTTAAGGACGGCTATAGTAAAGGTCTGCATCCCTTGTTGAGGCTTCTGCAGTACTCCTTTTCTGTGGAAGGAGCGAGCAGAGTCACAGCACTAGGCTGCTGAGCGTAAGGATCAGGCTCACAGTTAAGGAAAACCCTCAGATAGAAGAGCAGGGTTCGCTGCCCGCAGCCTGCAGCCAACTGCCCTGTGGCTGCGATCCTGTGGCTGATGCAAGAGCACAGTCAAATTGACTCAGTGTGGAAACTTAACCCGCGAGGAAACTTTCCGGCTTTTCTGGAGAAGAGCTTTCTAAAGAGCATGAATCCACTTTCCTGCCTTAGGAAGAAGGATACGCAGGAGTATATTTGACTCTTCCTTTGCTGGTTCCATGACGGATCATAAAAAGCAAAATGCTCCTCCCTGAGTCTGAGAGACACAAAGTCAGGGACAGAAGCCCCGGCTGAGTGTGCACCAGCGACCTGGGCCCCTTCGGTGGAGTTCAGAAAACGGCAAGGCCTAGAGGGAAACCTCGGTTAGCAAAGCGGCTGTGGGCAAGATGGACAGGCAGGACTCCCCACCCACTCAGCATATGACCTTTACCGACCGCTCCTGTCCTGGTCCGGAGGCTGATTCCTCATGGCAACATGTCCATCACTGTCATTCGAGGAAGGCCACACCTAGAAGGCCACTCCACTGTCCCCAGCAAAGAGTTCCCTCGGGTGTGACAGCCTCGGCTCTTTATGGCCTGGACCCAAAATGATGGGACTTGCTCCTGAAGAAGCTTTTTTGCTTCTGAGACAGATGATCCAAGGAGGAAGGAGTGAAGGACAGACACAGGCTATGTGCCAAGGCCTCTGCCAATCACACCAGCTGGTTTCCCTGCTGCAAGCAAAGCGGCATCATTTAAAAACCGGGGAGCGGGAAGCGGGGGCTAACTTGATTCAAAGTCCTTCCTGGTGCCGATGGCGTTCCCGTTACCATGAGGTCATCTTTTTCTTAATCAAAGAGTGATTGCTTTCTGACCAGAGGGGTTTGGGTGCATTTGAACTGTGAACAGTGAGCAATTTTCTAGTGAACAATGACTGTTACACAGTGAGCTTCGGTCCCTTGGAGGAAGCCCCATGGGATTTTAGAAATAGTTCATGCACAGGGGGTGAGAAACAGGGATGTCAGGGAGGCCAGCTCAGGAGCTGATTATGGGTTACGGCCTATGGAAGACCTACCCTGAAATAACACGGCATAGACGTTGGAGGTGAGCGTCAGATGAAAGCTCCGAGAGCCTGTGGCAGTCGGCAAATTAACTACGGCGTGGAAATGGGAACCTGGAGGGGAGAGTGCCGGGCCTGTCTCCAGGCAGACAGTAAGGAACCCCCTAGATTCGACCCTTGGCAATGATCTTAGCTCAAACTGCCTGCAACCTTCAAAGCCAACTCCAATTTACAGGAAACATACACACGCACACATACATATATAGGCGCACACCTGCACACACATATGTGCAAGGGAACACACGCACACCCAGTGGTAATTCACTTACAGGAAACAGAGCAAGAAATAAGTAAGGCAACTTCCCCCAACTGTAGGTTACTGAAGATCTAATCAACTCCCCAAGAGGCTCCAAAGAATGCCAAGGGCATTAGCGAGATTTTGCAACGTGGCCAGGTGTGCCCAGAACAGAGAGGTTTCCTGGAGCATGGGGACTTCCGGTGTTAAAACCCGAACAGTCCTGAACAGACCCGGAGATTGGTCACCCCGGATGCGAGACGTAGGAGACTTCCGACAGGGCTCAGCACACACGGTTTTCAGACTCTGCCAGGTTCGATTCAGAGCGTGACAAGTAAGAACACTGACCAGCGTCCTCGGAGGGGAGCCCACTGTCTGGCCCACCCTCCCAGCCCCAGACTCTGTCCCAGGCCTCTGGCTCCTGGCGGCTGTCTCCGCCTTTCCCGCCTGGTTCACCTGAGAGGCCCCGGAGGCCAGCATCATCCTCTCCCCACCGTGCTGTATTTTGGGTTTGTGGCAAAGACATGTTACAGAGACTTTTTCTGAAGTTAAGGTCTGCACTACAGCCCTTGTTCCTGGGAGGGACGTCTCAGCTCCAAGCAAACAATCCCTTCCCTCCTGAGTGAAACTGCCCTCGCGTTCAGCCTCATCTAGAAAAGGACAAATCAAAGTCCCCTTGCTCCCACACCCACTTGGCAGCCAGCAGGGTGCGATAACACGAACGGAACCCAAAGGCCAGAAACACCCAAAGTTAAATGTCAGCACTTGGCTAAAGCTTAAACCTCATGAACTTCCCTACAGCTCCCAAAGGCAGTCTGGGCAGTTACGCTGGGCAGACCCATGAAAGTCAATAACGGTACAGTGTCCCCCTCCCGACTGGGCAAAACCTCCCATCCACCTTGCTGCAGCTTCACAGACTCCAGGATGGCCAAAGAGTGGAACGACGTGTTTATCAACTGAAAATAACCCTGGATTCCCCCGCCGCTCACCACCTTCCAGAGAAATGAGGCTCCTGCGGGAGTGAAAGCACTCACCCACTCCCATGAGGCCTTCAAAACAGTTCCTTACTTTCACTCAGAGTTTAGTCATTGTAGTTCCAGGCTCTCATTACAGTTTCCCCTCCAAAATGTTTTTCGTTTTGCAAGAACCCTTATTAAGCACTTAACATGTTGGAAGCATGTCACTTTATCATTGCACACTGAGAGTCACCTACACACACTGCAGGCGTCCCCAGTCACCAGTCTGCCTTCATCTCGCCATCTTCAGGTCTCTGTTCTCTCTGATCCTCTGTTCAGCTGTTTTCCCTGCACCCACTACGTATGGATGGATTTCACCTCGGCATCTCTACCTGTCCACAGAGATGGTCCCTCACCCTGAGAGGGAGATGACATCCTGGAATTCTCAAGTCCCCTTCCTTTGCTCTCATTGCTGTTCTGCCATCTTTTGCCTTTCAGGCCCCAGGGATGCCCAATGCCAGGCTGTGCTTTCGCTGCAGACTCTCTTGATCAAATAAAGATTTTATCTTTAATCTCGAAGTTCAGGACTTGAACCAAGAGCACTGGGAATAAGATAATCTCCAGTAAAGGAGTGAAAGTACAGAGTGTGTTGACCCCAAGACAGAAGATACCTACCGAGGAGAACCCCTGGTGGCTAACTGGGCTCAAATTTACAAAGAGCCCAGCAGCTATTTCTAAACAAGGCCCTCTCATGCAGACCTTGCTTCAGGAGGAAGCTTGCACCAGGCTGCCTGCCTTCCTGAGCCTCACAAAGGAGCTTCTGGAATACTATTTCAACCAACAAGACTGAGGCTTCCCCATCCCACTGGAGCTGCTTAGCTATATTCCCTCTCCCTTCCCATCACCATCATCACCAACCAATCAGGGGGCTCCATTCTAATCAGTGTGCTTTCTGGACCATTCAAACTGCAAAGATTTGGATTCCTCATTTGCATGAGGATGAACCTATCAGGAATCAGGCAGGGATTTTCTCTCCATAACTCAGCTCCCCCCAACCTCTGGGAGTGCACTTTTACTTTCCACCAAAGACTGAAAACCGTAAGTTGCATTTTGCCAGCAGACTTTTCACCAGAACAGAGGAGAGCTCTCTAGCTGGACAGAGGCCTTCCCTGAGGTCCTTCTTGCAGCCCTGCTCTTTCGGAATTGGGCCATAACACTAGTGAGCTGCTCCACAGCTTGCGCTATGTCACAAGGGAGCTGTTTGCACTGAATAAAGTTTCCCTCTTCACCACACCCTCAGTCAGGGGTTCTTGTTGGCATCAAATTAGCACCAATTACCATCAGTCAACAAGCAGCATTCTTTAACTAATGGGGTGGGGGGGAGTAAATAAATAGCAACTCGACACATCAGGAAGAGGGGAAATAATGAAGTAAAATGAAAAGATGTCAAATGGAAGGATTATAATCAACTCCATTCATTGTTAAATTAAGTGCAAACAGGAAAAGTTCACCCATTAAAGGAATCTGTATGACCAATTAAAAAATATCAGTTGTGTGTGTGTGTGTTTTAGAAGAAAGCTTGGAGACAAAGGAGAACTGAAGAGGTACTAGGGAAATATACATAAGAATAATTCAGGGATGGTGATATTAATATTTCACCAAAAAAGTGGAATTTCAAATTAAAGCATTGAATAAGACAAAGAGGGTTACTGTCAGGTACAATTTACAGTACAATGACATTCTCACATATGAGCTCGCTTGCACCAAACGAATCAGCTAGCCAATACAATTCACCACTTAGACAAATTTATGGGGAAAATATTTGTTGGTAAATAATAATTCAAATGTAATGTAAA